TTCTCAACAAAGCTTTGATTGAGAATTATCGCAAAGCTGGTCTCACTGTGATTGAAGAGGATCTCAACACAGGCAATGGTGGATGGCTTGAGTACCTGTGTTACTACAATAAGTGAAATCCTGAGAAAGCCTTCTTCATGGCAGCAGAGCTGAGAATTCTCAACACTCTCTGAGGTGCAAAGCAAAGTCCAACAAAGTTGTTTAATCATTTTGGTGATGGCCTCTTTTACTTTTTTCTCTTTTTCTTTAATATATTAAATAATATGATTAATTATATGACAGTAATACTACTGGTGATATCAGACAGCATGGATGGTGTATGGGATCTACTGGTAAACTTGATGTTAATGAAATCAATCAAACAATTTCAAATGGCAATTTTTCAACAATGATGTTAATGACAGATTGAATATTAAGGCTCTGTATCACTTTATTCTGCACATTTCCTGCTTTTCAATAAAGACAACTTTGCATGTGAAGTGTGTTTGTTTCAGACTCCTCACAATTGAAACTTGGCTTTGTGTGATTTCATGAGTTTTTCTTCTCATTCTCATCAGTGTTATCATGCTGACAAATCAGGGCCCATATTCATCAAACTGTAAGAAGTGACACTTTGGACCAAATGTGAAAAACAAAAGTAAAATCCCTCACATTTAATATTCACAAATTTAAGATTGATTGAAGAGTTTCTTATGATGTATAAATGCTCTTAACAGAGCTCAGCAGGTCTCAAGTTAGTTAAGAGTAGATGGTAGATAACTGCAGTCCAGTTACACAGGTGAACAAACACCTCCTGACACGTTTGTACAAACTGTGACTGGTCATGATTAATAACATGTTAGCTGAAGCAATATGTAGGAATCAGAACAGGGTGGTTTTCATTTATTATTTGCATTCATTTAAACATTTGATTGGATGTTACCCTCTATGCTTCTTTTTACATTTATCAGGGGTGCAAACAGCACCAATAAAGCTGGTACTGATTTTGTTTGCAGTCACTTTTCATGCATCTGTATTGTCTGCACTTGTCATCATGGTACTAAATTCTCCTTACTGCATGATATGATAAGTGCCCCTACCTGTCAGGCTATGACGCTCTGGTGCTCCTCCAGCATCAGTTGTGGACACTCTGGGGCAGCATGAAAATGAACACTTGTTACATTCCACATCAGCATCATTCCACACGTAAGGAACTATTCAAGTACTACTCTGTGTGCACACAAAACAGTTATTATCATTTGGTTAGTTCATGAATTCATTATTTTATTTCAAATGTCTGCCAACAAAAAATGTAATAACATTATTCTTTATAGAACGTATAATTCTAAAACTTGAGATGTTTTTAACCTGATGCCTTGTTTCCACTCAAAACATTCAAAAACACAATATTAATGCTAATGCTTTGTTTCCATTTTACAATAACCAAACAAATGTTTCTTTTATGTTTCATCAGTTTTGAGGCCAGAACATGAAGAAAATTCATGAGGTAGTTGTGAAATTCTTCTATTAAATTCTATTATTAATGACGTTCAAATTAGAGAGTGTGTGTGTGATTTGATTTTTGATTTGATTTCTTTATTTAAGTGTCATGCTTCAAAGAAGCCCAGCCCTTATGGGCCTATAAGACACTTTATCTCCAAAACAGAAACAATGATCAAACATACAAGTTGGAAACAACCAAGATACAAAACAAATGTACAATAATACAGATGTACAATAGTAGAATATGAACACAACAGTCCTCATGATTAGGACAGTGAACCCTAATCTAATCCATTGATATATCTCACTTAAAGAGCAAGGATTGCCTTCTATTCCAGGCTTTGAAAATAAAATTAGCAGTCTTAAAAACCTCAGTCTTAAATAACCACTCCAACTTCTGACCATCATCCACCCAGAATAAATCAGCTTTTTGTTTTTGCATTTCATCAAACAAGGGAACCCTTAAGTCCTCATACTGTGAACAATAAAACATAAAGTGAAATTCATTTTCAACCTCTTTCAGATCACAGACATTACATATCTTATTGTCTTCAGGTACCGCAGTGAACCGCCCCACTTCAATAGCGAGGGGTAGGATACCAGCTCTCTGCTGAGCACACAGTGACCTCTGGCTTCTGGTTAGAAAGGAAGTAACGTAGGGTTCAGGGCCAAAACTCTGCTTCATTTGAACATATGATCTAAGCTTGGGCTTTAGCCATATGTGATTTAACCATTTCTCTTTATACTAGAGAATTAACTTTTGTTTCAACATATTGACGTTACAACAGAGCATGTTATGAAAAATGTACACAAGGTCAGCCTCCCTAAAAATACAAAGAATTTCCTTTGTCCAGGGGTGACTGTGAGCCTTATCCCAGTTGAAAACCCTTTTTGTTAATCTACTCTCTGGCATATTAATAAAGCGATTCCACAGCCGTATCATTTCTCCCTTTTGCTTAATTGTGAGTGTGTGTGTGTGTGTGATTAGTAGCTGGCTTTTTTTTTATCCACACATCTTCCTCAAAGTCCTGCCAAGCACACTGTTATCTATTTTATTCAGAAAAAGAAATGTAACTTCTACAGAACTGACCAAAACACTTTATGGGAACACACGTGCACAGAAAAATTACCAGTCAGTGAGTGTTTACCTCAACGAGGGAACATGAGGTAATGAGCTGTACCTATATGGAACAAAACAGAGGGATGCAACAACCCCATTAAAGCCATCACCCTGCTTCTCAACACAGCTGCTGTTCAACAGTTTGAGTTTTTTAGCATTGAGTGCCTGTGTGTCCATCAGTGATATCCTGAGAAAGCCTTCTACATGTCAGCTGAGCTGAGAATTCTCAACACTCTCTGAAGTGGAGAGCAAAGCCCAACAAAGCTGTTAAATCATTGAAGTATAAAACAATGTGATTAATTATATTACAGTAATATTACTGGTAATATCACAAAGCATCAATGATATATACTGTAGGTTCAGTGGTAAAGTTGATGTGACTGAAGTCACTCAAACAATCTCAAATAGCAGTTTTTCTACAAAGATGTTAATGACAGATTGAATATTAAGGCTCTGTATCACTTTATTCTGCACATTTCCTGCTTTTCAATGAGGACAACTTTGCATGTGAAGTGTGTTTGTTTCAGACTCGACACAATAGAAACTTCACTGTGAGTATTCTCATGTGTTTTCATCATCTTATTTCCATCACTGTTGCACACCATTATGAAGAAACATGTCACCCAACCCAGAAGCCGGAGCATTACAGTGCATGCCGTTTTGTGATTAAACATGCTGTGGCTCTTCTCAGACAGCGGCTCAACTGACCGCAGAAGGAACCAGCAATAGGGACAACTATTACACTTATGTTGTGTGAGTGATGCAGGATTTGAAGGTGATGCTGTGGAACACTGAAACTATAAACATAAAGTGATAATGAGTCACACAAACCACTCACCATCCAAATGTCACTGCTGAGTGTGTGTCTGCAGGGTCCTGTGTTGAGATGGAGGGTCTGTCACATGATGACTTTTCACCTGCATCAGGTGAAAGGTCATAAGGTGAAAGGTCATCATGTGACGTAACTGATGATGGCAGCAAGGACATTTTTTATTCATAGCTCAAATACTATTCATTATTAAATGTTCTTCTTGATCAAAGCAGACGCTCACTTTGGACATCAGGGGACAGGTGCTGATGCAACCTCCCCCTCTGCTTGTGCCTGCTGTTATCACTTTTACTGGCAGGTTTGATTTCCACAGAACTTCATCAACATTATCTTATGGGTGGCATTGCCTTGGCCCGGCCCCAGACCTTACCCCCAGATGAGTTACATCATCATCTGTTCTCTATATAAAGGCAGCTGACTTGTGGTAGAAACAACCCAATTCAGCCGATCAGGTGACTTCTTACTGCCTATCATTCACTGTCAGCAGACACGTAAGTGTTCAAGAATTTATTGTTTTCTTGCAGTAGACCATACATTTTTCTATTTCAGATCTTTATTGATTATATTCAGTGTAAATAGTAGAATTGATGCAGTATGCATGCACATTTAATATATGATTTATTTCAGATGTCGATATGGTGATCCATATTTGACAACTGATGTAATGATTAGTCATGATTATATAGGAGCTCACCTGAGAAAGCACAGTCATGCAGCTGACTCGTCATTTTCTGTTAACTCATGATTTGTCTTCTTTCTTTAATGCAGTTACCCACAATGCCCATCACAGACCTCAGTGTGTCCATTAATCCAACTGATGAGAGCAATCTCCAATCTCAAGACTTCAGGATGGTCAATGTCAACCTGAACAAAAGAGGAGGAGGAAATGCCATCTATCTTTGGTACAAACAAGATTCTGGCTCAGGAGCAATCACCAGGGTTCAAGTCTCATTCAGCGATGAAATGTCTGTTGGATTGAGAAAAGCAGGGTACATACAGATCGACAGAGATCTCAATGCAGGATCAACACGTGGTCCCGTCTACCTTTGGTACTTCAGAGGGTCCGGAAAGTACCACACTCCCATAGTGGAGATTGATGTCACCACCGAGGCAGCCAATGAAGCCGGGAAGTTTGATTTTGGCTGGGAGAGAGTGGCCTGTGATCTGAACCGTGGGGCCACTGGGGACTGGATCCACATCTGGCTGAAGAGAGAGAACCCAACATACATCTGTGATGTGGCTGCCACTGACTCCTACGGATCAGACACCGACTACCTAAAAGGAGGTTACATCCGTGTGGATGAAGATACTAACCGAGGTGCTCGAGGAGGAGGAAAGCCTGTCTTCATCTGGTTCCGTCAGACCACCGACTCCCAGGGTGCAGTCAATGATCTGAAAGTCTCCACCAATAAAACCGACTATCTGGCCTACCAGCAGCAACAGTATTCATCAGTGAATATTAACCTGAATGAGGGGAGCAGTGGTGACAAGGTGACCCTGTGGTTCAAGAAGGGATCCAACAACCCCATCCAGGCCATCACCCTGCTTCTCAACAAAGCTTTGATTGAGAATTATCGCAAAGCTGGTCTCACTGTGATTGAAGAGGATCTCAACACAGGCAATGGTGGATGGCTTGAGTACCTGTGTTACTACAATAAGTGAAATCCTGAGAAAGCCTTCTTCATGGCAGCAGAGCTGAGAATTCTCAACACTCTCTGAGGTGCAAAGCAAAGTCCAACAAAGTTGTTTAATCATTTTGGTGATGGCCTCTTTAACTTTTTTCACTTTTTCTTCAATATATAAAACAATATGATTAATTATATGACAGTAATACTACTGGTGATATCAGACAGCATGGATGGTGTATGGGATCTACCGGTAAACTTGATGTTAATGAAATCAATCAAACAATTTCAAATGGCAATTTTTCAACAATGATGTTAATGACAGATTGAATATTAAGGCTCTGTATCACTTTATTCTGCACATTTCCTGCTTTTCAATAAAGACAACTTTGCATGTGAAGTGTGTTTGTTTCAGACTCCACACAATTGAAACTTGGCTTTGGGTGATTTCATGAGTTTTTCTTCTCATTCTCATCAGTGTTATCATGCTGACAAATCAGGGCCCATATTCATCAAACTGTAAGAAGTGACACTTTGGACCAAATGTGAAAAACAAAAATTAAAATCCCTCACATTTAATATTCACAAATTTAAGATTGATTTAAGAGTAAAAAAGAATAAAACTAGGAGGGCAGTGGCATTCTCAAACAAGTAGTACAAAATAGTGAGAAGGTGCTCTTTGGAAGAAAATGGGGAAATCACAAAAATGGAAAAAAAGGATATAGCCAAGGCACTCTTCAAAAATATATAAAAAGCTTTAATCACAGGGCTAGTTCATTATGGAACAATAAAAACAGGCTTAAAATCGGCCAACATGTTTCGACCAACACACGATCTTCATCAGGGCTTTACTCTGAAAGAAAAACACACTACATATAACTCAGGTAGGTGTTTAGTAAAATGACCTCAGCTGGTGAGGGAAGCAGTCTTAGGCAATTAGATGGCCAGGTGAGGACTTCAAGATCAACCAATCACATCAGAGGCCAGTAAAGACAACAGAGCATAGAAAAAACACTAATATTGTCCTACATAAACAAAATATACTTAAGAAACATCTACAGAAAAGAAACCATGTCAACAGTATCAATAAGACCAGGAAATACCATAGCCTGGAGCTTATGGATCCAGCGGCTCTCTTCTTGGTTGAATGTTCTCTGTCTATCTCCTCTTCTAGAGGTTAGAGGTACATGATCTATATCAAAAGCTGTAGCCATTTTGAGTATCCATAAAATGTTTCACCATAGCATACTCACAATTACCAGTTCATTACCAGTTCTACCAGCATATTTATGTTCAGCCAGTTCAGGTCCTGTAGACGTCGTTTAATATGTCCTACATAAAATGCATCACAGAGAGAACAAGAAAGTATGTAAATAACAAATGTAGTCTTACAGTGAATAAAGTGCCCAGTGGTATACAGCTGTTGTGTTAGTGGGTGAGTGAAACCTTTAGATTTGACTACAATGTCACATTGTTTACAATTGCCACACTTAAAGGTATCAGTAGGTGCTTTAGGTAACCATGTAACTTGTTCTTAGCAGGTAAGTGATTATACACCAGTCTATCTGCAAGACTGAGAGCTCTCCTAAACAAAGAAACTGGGGGGTTAGGAAAGACCTCACTTAAAGTCTCATCACAAAGGATGAGATCCCAGTTCCTTCTGATTATACTGCATATAGAGTAAGCCTCAGTACTATAGCAGGTAGAGGGAAAAAAAAGGTCTTTCTAGTTAGAAAGGAATGACGCTCAAGAGAGCCAGCCTTAGAAAGAGCTGTATCTAGGATCTCAGGTGAATAACCACATTCCCTAAAACGACTGTACATTTCTTTACTGTCTAACTCAAAGTCACTGTCACTATCGCAAATTCTATGTAGCCTTTGGAATTGCCTGCAAGAAATATTCTTAATCAATGTATCTGGATGAAAACTCTTTGCATGGAGTATAATATTTTTGTGTGCATTCTTTCTAAAAATAGAGGTGTGAAGAAAACCATTCTCATCTTTACTGATTTCAAGATCTAGAAAATGAATTTTGTCTTTACTATATTCCAGTGAAAGCTTCACATTAGTGTTAACGTTGTTAAGATAACTATGAAAAGACAATAGCTCATCTTCATTGCCATTCCACCACATAATAATATCACCTATATAACGTGCCCACCAGATAGTTTTATCCTTAAAGACATTTTGAGAATGGAAAACAAAATCCTCTTCCCATTTGCTCATGAACAAGCCAGCATAAGATGGACTAAAGCATGCCCCCATAGCACAGCCTTTCACCTGTTTATCCTGAAACAGAAAAATATTATTATTCAATGTCCATTTAGTAAGGTCTACAAAGAAATCCGTAAGAGGGTCATGTGGGCAAGGTGGTTTGTCCAGAAAGTATCTGAGGGCAGAAAGGCCTTGGCCTTCATGTTCAATGTTCGTATACAGAGCTTCCACGTCCATTGTCACCAGTAAAGCACCAGGACCAATGTAATTGTGTTCTTTGACTTTCGAGAGAATGTCAGTTGTGTCCTGAACATAAGCAGGAAGGGACGGGAGCAATGGATTAATATAGAAATCCACATATTTAGAAATAGGCTCTGTAAGAGTTTCATTACCAGAGATCACAGGTCTTCCTGGTGGATTTGTCAAGTTCTTGTGCACTTTAGGCAAGAGATAGAAAGACGCCATACGAGGGTATGGTTTAAAATCTGTTAAGCCTGAAAGTCCCCCATGATGTTGCACATCAAATTAAACAGCAGAACCTGGGCTACAAGGCTGTAAAACCCTTTTTACATGCCCCAAACACAGCTCAAACAACAACTAAATAAACAACAACAAATCCAACTCCATACAGCACCGATATCCCGACCCACTCGGTATATTTCGGGCTCTAACTCGACCACATGTTATTCAAAACACATGCCATTCATCTCAAATGAAAGCTAATACTCCGCTGTTTCCACACATATGCACTAAAATCACTCTACCACAAAGCATCAGAGAGCTAGAGGCCAAAGAACAACAACAACAGAAATCTTTTCGCCAAAATATATTTGTAATATCTCTCTGACCTTGTTATTTTTGCCGTGAAAAGCTAATTCTGCCGTTAAATCACGCTTCATTCCCGTTTACCGACTTGTTGTCTGTCATTCAAATGAATCTGTCTGATTGTCTTACAGTGGTGTCAATCTCGTTTTGGTGGGTATTGCGTCATTCTATTGGCTCTAACGAATCAAACGAGGTGTCAATCATTCAAATTGGCCAAGCCGTCACGGAGATACGGGCCTCCAAAGCTCAGAATAGAAACTCAGGTCCAAATTTAGTAAGTGTGTATTGGTCAGTTTGGAGTGGGAAATAGAGTAAAAAAAACGAAAGACAGTTGTATGTGTATATCCTAAACACCAGTAGGGATTTACAGAAACAAAAAATGAAAGATATAGGATTATACATGACAAAAATCACATGCAAACATGATGCAATTTTGGAGAGCTCGCCTGAATTTTCTGTACTAAAACCTCTGTAATATTCTTCTGGGTTTTTTTAGGCGAACCTCAAAATATTTCATTTGTGCTGTCTGCCATCTTCATTTACTCTTCACATATAACACATATACTGATATTTACACATCTTAACAAATCTCACAAGTGTTCCCTTTACCATGACACCAAAAGTATTCAAATAAACCTTGTGGTTGCAGAGATATATTCATTTCATTATGGACATGCAATTTTCGAGCAGAGGCCTATAAAATAGGCTTAGCTTTGAAAAGGTTAAAACGGAATCCAGATTCTTGTTCTGAAATCAGGTTATCATCCTTGGCCTTCTGGAGTATATCCTTAAGTTCCTGTGTTAAGGTCTCTATAGGATTACGCTTTAAAAGGAGGTAAAAAGTAGTGTCCTGTAGCTGTCGAAAAGCCTCATCAGTATATTGCTCATAACCCCACACAACAGCCGCTCCTCCTTTATCAGCCCTTTTTATAACTACATTTTTGTTGTCAGCAAGCTCTTTAAGAGCATCTCGTTCATCCTTAGTGAGATCATGCCTCCTATGAGTGTTCTTTCTGGATGGTAGTTTCTCTACCTCATGATTAACTTTTTCTCAAATGTATTTAAGGTGGCATTTTATACAGTTGGACAAAAATAAGATTTAGATTTAAATGGGGTAGAGGAGGTGTGACACAGTTGGCTAGATGGAGTAGGGGTAAAGGCTGGAGACGGGGTCAATTTATACCAAAAATTGAAAGTGAATTTCTATAGAAACGAAAAAGATCAACTTTCAAATCAAAGTCATTAGAAAACTATTGTGGTTAGAAACAAAATATGAAGATGAAGTACATGAGCCCGGTGAACGACACTCATTGTAAACCCTTCTCGAATGTTCACGTTAAGTCACACGTAACTCTAAAACTGAGTCGTCTTTAATCTGCATTGGGAGTATGGGAATATCCAGTGTACTTGGGTTATGCTGTCTTTGTAGCATTTCGTCCGGAAACAGAGCTTACTGGACCAGCAGTTGTGTTTCCTGTCTGGCACAGGTACAAGAACTGTGACTTCTGTGTGGGCTTTATTTTTCAGCCCCAGATGTTGCTGCTTGTGTAGTATGCATGCTCTTGAGCATTTCCACACAGGCCACAAAAGCCCCAAGTATGTTATACCTCAACTTCACCAACAGATGGAAGAGTACACCACAGGATAGCTATCCATCAGTGGTGCAGGAGTCCTAACACCTGGAAATCAGCTGGCATTTTAGCACTCCTGGTTCATTGTCTTGAATGGGTTTTTGGTTAGATGCCTAAAATAAGGACTGCTTAAGAGAATTTCACAATTTGATATATGACATAAAATATGTCAGTAAATAGCCCACAATTCTGAAGTTTTTTTGTCTTCAAAAAAAAAAAAAAAGGTTGCTAACAAGTGGCTAGATGAGACTATAGAACATCATCATACCTACAGAGCTTTACAGTCTCATTGTGGTAGGGATGTTAAATCATCTGACTGTAGTGTATTTTTTGCTTATGTTACCTTTTTTTTAACCTCTGGGGACTGCATGTATGCTTCAAAATCATAAAAATTGTGGTCATTTATAAACGTTTGTTTGCCACAGAGGTCATTTTCTGCAATAATCCGAAATAAAAACCCCATTAGCTTTTTGACCAGGGAACTGTGGCTCAGCTAACTTTTGCATTGGCCTACAAAACACCGTCATCCCTGCAACACTCTATTTTGCCGAGAAACCACTGCCGTCTAACACCTGATTTATAATCAATGAAATTTCTCCTCAAGGGGATTAATAAAGTACCTACCTACCTACCTACCTACCTACCTACCTAATCGTGCATGGGCTTTAAGAAAAGCCTACGCTGTAGCCTATGCAAGTGGCCTACACCATTGTGAGTATTTATACATGTGCGTCATTTGTCTGTGTCGCTCTCCAGAATGCTAGTTGGCGGTGGGGTTTCTATGCCACTGTGTGAAGTTTTTCTAAAGGGCTGAAAAGTTTTATTGGAAACACAACTAAAACACACACAAAAAACAGCTTACTAGGGACAGTCTGTATCTGTATCATTTAATTCTTTCGTCTTCTTATTCCCATCACTGTTATCATGTTGACAAATCAGGGCCCCTATTCATCAAACTGCTAAAATTGATATCTTAGACTTCCAGCTGTGGAAGAGGTACTGATATCTGTATTATAAGTTAATACAAGTATAAAGGAGCAGAAAATGGAAATGCACAAGTACCTCAAAATTGTACTTAATTAAAGTGCTTGACCTAATGTACACAAATCAGTAAACAATCAATGGAGTCAATAACAAGTCAATTGAGGGTTTTTTTTTTATTCTTTTGTGCATTTAACTGTACACATTTAGTTTAAAGGCTGGGAAGTTCTTTAAAGGACAAAACTGGGCTCAACAAGTCACATGAAAAGGCCAAAATATCAAAAACACTCAATATCTTGGGACATCTCTGTCCTGTCCTATTGGTTCCTACATTTTTTAAAAGTAGCCAGAAATGCATAGTGTAGTTTTTACCAGTGTTACTCAAGCAGAAGTATGTAGTGTGTTTGCTGGGGACTATTTTCAGCTGTGTATTTGGTACGCCAATGAGTATTTACCCTGCAGGGCGATGTATGTGGTATTGAGTTCACATAAAGTAGGAGGAACACGTCTCTCAGTGCAACAGTGTGCAACACTTGATCACACATAAGGATGTTTGACGTCATAATTGACAGCTGTGTGGCCAGTCAGTGTGCTCGTGCTTGTGATTTGTTGAACAGGTGTATGGGCAGGAACTCGTTACCACAGTGATAAACTCCAAATGACATCACCAGCGCAAGATGGCAGCGCAATTCCCAGGATGAGGGATATTTTGGCTTCATTTTTGTACAGTGGGAGGAAGTGGAGACTTGTTGTCCATCTTTATATGCAGTCACTGGATAAAACCAACAGTTTATAAGTGGTTAACAAGATAGTGTGAAAGATAGGTCTGCTGTTTTAATAAAGGCTAGTTCACATTATACGATTTTCACCCCGGAAAATGTGTCGCGGAGACTATCGTAATCTTGTGAGTGTTCATACCTGGCAACGTGTATTTCTGTCATCGAGAGTCTCGCCAACTGCGTTACGACCTGTGTGCACACCACAAGATTTCTCCACTGAGCCCTCGCCGACAGAGCCCCAGATAAGTGGTGACCTTCAGGGCCTGGGTCCAAACACAACGCGCTCCCCGTGATCCTGTGGACGCCGCCATTGTTGTTGTTGCTTGCCGGCTTGTCAGTGTTGCCAGATCTTGGGAGAGAAACAAGCAACCAGGGCTATGGAAACAAGCCCAAAAGAAGCGATGGATATATATAGAGAAAGGCGACATTTAGAGAGCAAGCCCAAATAAGCAACTCCACTTGGTCTCATTGGCTGATGCTCTTTGTCAGTCGTGTCACACTTCTCCAGTTTTCTAGCATGCCACATATCCAGTCCCAGTCACAGACGAGGGGGCGACTTGCTCGTAGGCTTGTTCACACATGAGAACTCGTCGTGGCAGATTATCTGCCGACTCACCTCCAACCCATGGTGGCTCTCAAGATCCTCTGCGATGTTAAAATCACGGTGAAAATCATGTAATGTGAACTAGGCTTAGGACATAGAGAACCAGAGATACGTAGTGGCTGGCAGCCAAGTCTAAAACCTCTCCCTGTTTTACTGATTCTGTAACCGGCTCTGACCCCTCAGATGAATTCTCAGAGCTATATATACACCAACAAACAGACAAATAATAGATGCAGGGTTCAGAGATTTTACAGTCACACTCATTATTAAAAGCGGTAATGCTGACTGGATGAAAGATCGGCCAACAGTTCAAATACAACATACTGCAAGTGGAGGGTGGCTTTTACAGTGGTTACTGTTAGAGGGCTACTGGTAGTTTCTGACAGAGAACTTGATGCTGTGGCTCTGGAGGCGGTCGATGAGGCTGGTTTTATAGAAGGCAGATCCTGGAGTGTACACCCCTCCCCTTTCAACAACAATAACAGAGAGAGAGAGGGTGTGGATAGCGCTTTAACAAAAGAGGACGGCAGACATGGATAAGACTAAAGGCCTTCAGAAAATCTGCACATTTATGACAGAGAGGGACAAAGTAAAAGAAATGCAAGCAAAAGAAAAAACAGACTGAACTGACCTTCTGGGGAGAGAGTGCAGTTCATTCAGCAAAGTTACGGCTGCTTGTACCATAGCAGAAACTGTAGCTACATAACCAGGCTCTGTAAGAAGAAGGACACAAACATGGAGATAAGAAGTTGCAGACATGTCTCTAAATGTTCCGAAGCATTGTTCACAGCACAAAATCATGCTGACAGCTAAATGTGCTATTTACAGTTATGAGTGCTCTGGTGAGATTCAATATTTTTCTTACCATCAAATCTCATTTAAAAAAAACAAAACAAAAAAAAAACCAACATCAACCATGTCCTGCTGCCAAGAAGAGCTGCTCGATTATGGCAATAATCATAATCACGACTATTCTGCTGAATAATGAGATCATGATTATATAATATGATTACTCACTGACTTTGGAAACATCATGCACTGATTGAACTTGAAAAAAAATTAGCAGTGGGTTTTCTTGAATTTTAAACATAACCAAAGCTGAAAAACAAATAAAATAAATGTAAAACAATGAGATACATAAATAAAATAAACAATACATAGCATATAAATATAAAAACAGCACAAGAGGAGAGGAAGAAACCCCGCAGAAGAGGGTGGACTGCGATTACTCTAAGCAGCATGCATGAGAATAAATTACAGTATAATAAATATATTTCTCACTTTTTCCCCGGATGGTCTGAATAAGTCGATAAATATGTCGCTAATTGTGGTTTGAAATACTACTGCTACTAGAAAAACTTCATTTGGTGGTTTTATATTTGTAAAACTTTCCTCAAGCTGACAAAAGCAATTTAAAAGTAGTACACCCAGAAGCTAGTACACTTTTTTGGTGTATGCGCCTGGCGAGCAACTCAAATGGAACGAATAGGTGTCATCTTGGGGTCCGGTATCTAGTTATTATTAAAAATCTATGGGGAAGGGTCGCACACATCCGCTGGGAAGGGATGCGCTTGATTTAAAAAATGGGAGCAACACTGGTAGACTTGTCACGCAACACAAAAGCGTTGATCATGATTATCTTGTTTTGCAAATCCAGGGAAGCCAAAATCGTAATTGAAAATAAAATCAAATGATTCGCCAAGCCCTAGTTCAAAATAAGACCAAACTTTTCTATTGCTGTCAATTTTTGAGGCACAACAACGCCGAAATGCGACCTGCAAGAGATGACAAGGCTTGTTGCTTTTAGTTGAGCTGATTTCAAGAAAACTTGAGGCTTCAACTCGCCGGTTCAGAGAAGTGAGGAGTCAGCAGTTAATGACAAGCCCCTTTTACACTGCCAGATTTTCTGCGAATGTTGGGCCGTTTTGCCGGCAAGCTGCGAGTGTTTAGACACACTTTGGCGATTGGCGAGTTGATCCAAGGTGCCCAATTTTCTGCCTCGTAGGGGTAAACATATTGGCGGAACCTTTTTGGTTTAAAAAGAACGAGGCGCACTTCCGCCACTTGAGGGGCTGGTGATGACTTGTGGGAGGAGCTCTTGATGACGCCAAACATGCAACCCACTGGCAGTGGATAAACAGAAAACAGCTCATAGCAGGAATGAGCAGCTAGTAGCAAGAGGGAAACGTAAACCTGACAGACACTTTAAAGACGAGCAGCTGAGGAGACAAGGAATTGTACGCCCTCCTTGTCCTCGCAAACAAAGAGGCCATTAACTGTCAGATGACGGGAATGGTGAAGGACGGGCCGACTTACAAGAGAATCACCAAAGGACTGACTAGCCGCGGCTTCCCTCCCACGTCACTGGTTACGTCACACGCTGAGCTACACGTTTTGTTACTTGCTCACACCCCCCAGTTGCCCCAAAAAAAGGCACATTCTGTATAAACAAAAGTAGGTAGGCTGCATTTTCCCGCACTCCCCGATTTTGTTTTTATACTGCCAATGCTGAAAAAAAGACTGATTGGGCTTTCCTGCAAATTTGCACAAATGACCTATGGCTAAGTTCCGCCCTCAAATGCGATGAGCCAATCACAGTGCGTATAGCCATTCCCATACACTCAAACATTCTCTGCCTGGACGTTCATTGAAATGCATTACAGAAAGTCAATTTCATTCGGTTTTATGAGCTTTTTCAGAGATTTGAAGTTTAAAATGGTCAAACAGTGTGCATGGGGTACATGCAACTCCGACACAAGGTATCCTGAGAGGCTGGGCGACGGGGGTGTATTTTTTACACTTTAAACCACATCTCAACCGTGAAAAGTGTCTCCTTTGGATAAAGTTGTGTGGTAACGTTAGACCACAACATCAACTCAACGTGAATAAGATTAACAAGGATGTTTACATCTGTTCTAAGGGAAGTCAACATCGTGTTTGAGGCAACATATTGTCACTTTGCTGGAAAGAAATATAAAGTTATCTTTAACATCTCTAGCTAACATTAGCTAAAGTTAGCCTAGTTTTGTACTTTGGTGATCGTACATCATTGTTAGCTGTTGTCCAAAGGGCTCTAGTTAAACTAATGTTAACTTCTGGAGCTTAGCTTCATTAACTTATCTGTAATGGCAGAGATAACAAAGGTTAACAAACGTAATGCTGAATGATTCAGTGTTAATACTGTAGCACCAAACTAACGGAGAGACACTCTTGGTAAAGATGGTAAAAAGGCCGGTGACGGCAACGAGATGCAGTTCACAAGCGTACACTGTGACCTGTAAATTTTGGCTTGTAATTTAAGCTTTTCATCGACCTTCTCAACAATAAAATGATGAATATATCCCTCCAATGCGTAGTTTAGGCCCTTTTGATTACTTCTCAATGACATCTGATCGTTATGTCCCCCACAATCATCAATTGCCTCCTGCGAAATGCCGTGTACTGTGACACCTGCCATAGCGCCGGTCACTGAATGTCGATAGTTTGTCCGAGTGAGTGGAGGTGATTCATGTTACCATAAATGAATGTTGCTAAGGTTGAATAGTTCTTCTTCTTCACAGCACTACTACATAGTAGGAGAAGGACAGTTGTTACTAATAACATGTCAAAAATACTACTTACAAGGAAAATGTATAATAGCTATCCCTGTATATTAAACACAACTAGAAGCCTATAGTGTATAATACATCAGCTGGTGTCTGTAGTTTTGGCAGTTTTACCTGCTCCTATGACCTGAGTGCAGATCTTTGAGTTGGGCTGGCCCTGCGTGGGATCTGTACCCTCTGAGTAGCCCTCTCCGAAAAATGTCAAGCTGAAACAGGTGTCTTCTATCTGTGAGAAGAGAATGAATGACGAGAGAGGAACTGAATAAATGGACGAATAAATGAAAATTTATACACAATGCTCACAACATGCTGTACAAAGAAAAAGAAAAAACCCTCCAAGACAATTAGGCATCAACGAATACTCATTGTCAATATTTTCGTTGACAAAATTAACACAGGAGCATAGTGTGTCCTTGCATTAGAGTTGTTTTGTAACCCTCATAGCATCTTGTAGCAAACCAAATACATTTTATTTGCCACTAGTGTAACATCAAAACCCCTAAATACATATTTTTAAATCTCAAGTTTTTCACAGTGACATTAAATATTCATGACAAAATGAGAGTCAAAGTTAAAGTTTCAAAAAGAACCTGCTTAGGTATCATTTATTAAGAGTTTAACACTCAAACAAGTTTTGTTTTGTTTTTTTGTCTTAAAAGGACAACTGTTATCACATTTTGATTCACATGTTGCTAAATCCTGGAACCTTGCTGCCCTCCTGCTGTGAGGCAACAGTGCTAACCACTGCACCACTCTGTGCTGTCCCCAAAAACACAAACACAGATATCTGTCATGAGAAATAATCCAAACTCTTCTTACTTTGGTAGAAAGGAGTAAAAAGACAATCAAGAAAAGAGATTTTCGAGGCCTTTAACAACACAAACTAAATCCACCAGACGGGATACGTCACTTCACTTTAAAGCTCCTAACTGCAGGCAGCTGTTTGACAGCCATTTCCCATGCTGCCCAAGGAAGCTTTCAGCTCATATGATACAAATATATTCACCTCAAACCATATTTGAGTTACCTGTTTCATGGTTGGACCAGACTTGGTGAACAATCCAAAGGAGAACAGTGATGGAAACTTTGGGAAAGACAAAACAAATGTCATCACTCAAACATTCATGTGGTTGTCACAAAATTGTGCTTATAGAAAAATAATCTATATTAACAAATATCTTAATATTAATGTAGTACCTTTAGATATCTGCAACCAATCATGTCTGAGCAGGCTTTGGTTGCATGCAGGTAAACAGTCCGTGCAAAGAGGCAGAACGCAATGGCCGAAATGCAATCTCTGAACCAATTGGCTATCGTCTGATGAAGATTTAGCTTTAAATTAGCTTTTTCGTAATTTATCTGCATTCATATGCAGATGGGAACCGATGGGTTCTGCGATCGTGTAAACAATGAGCTGCCTGCTGAGGAGGAAGTCTTGGCACGAATATTGGCCTCATTGTCAGATTAACAGCAAAATGATATGCTAAGTTTGTAAGGCACTGTGACTATATGAATGACATTCCATATACTGACTCCATTTAGTCTCCGTTAATCCTCTGCTGTTTCTTGAATATCAGTACTGACAAATAAAGCATCGATACAGTCAGGGCTGAAAATTAAAATGCGGGTAGATTTTCCATTTGGCGACTAAATCTCGGAAGGCTATCCACCACATTGGCGGATAAATGTTTGCACCAAACATTGGTAGTCATGTAATAAATTATATATATAATAGCTATTTGACAGTGGCTAATAGCAGACCGGCGCTCTGTTTGTTGTGTGTCGCACTTAAATTGCTCCCCGCTGCATCAAGGAACCTGTAGGGCTACTCGAAGGATGCACGCGCACGTAGGCATATCGCACGCCTAGATCCGTGATCTGCTGTTAGTAGCAAGCAAGCTATCACCGCGGGCGTCATGTAGCGACATTTACCAGGTGTAAGTAAACCACCGACAAAACGAAAAAACACAGACAAGGACGAAGCTGAAGCTGTAACGTTACAGAAAAAAAGAAAGTTTTGTGAAAAATGGAGGTTCGGCAATAACAGCGTTTCAAGAGGCTGGCTACACTACGATGCTGAGGGTGCAGTAATGAGCTGTGCAGTCTGAGGTGGTTTATAATTAATAAGCATCTGGAAGGTTTACAAAAAACCAATTAACTGTTATGTTTACTGAAAATTACTGTTATGTTTGAAGCACAAATGTTTTAAGTACAAAGTGCAAGTTGAATTTTGAGCTCAAAATTTGATAATCTCAAACTAATTTTGCTTCAAATTTCACTCTGACCTCTCCTTTAAGCTTGTATTCAACATAATACTGCATTATCTCAATGAAAAGTACTGAAACAAATGTATATGTGACATAAAAAGGCAATTCATTATTTTGGCTGGTAAAAAATATGCTTGGCCGGTTAATTTTTTCATCTACCAGTCCACTTGGCCAGTGAGCCAAAAAGTTAATTTTCAGCCCTGGATACAGTATAATCCATGTTGCACTGGAACATTTCTACACTGACAAGAATCAAGTAGTAACACAGCGGTTGCCACACAGTGGCGCTGCACTTAATCTCAGTAGCTGTGGGTATGTCTTTCAGGTCAATATTCACAACTAACTGTGACACTGATCCTTATTTAAATGCTTGGAAACAACATGACTCTTAAAGCTGTTGCTCCCTTTAAATGAACTCCACTATAAAGCGACTCTGATGATCTGCTTTGGACAGCAAAAAACCAAGGTAGACGTTACAAAAACAAATTGGATGATGAACACTTTAGCTACCGTGGTGAGGATTTTCCTGCCCAGGCTGAATTTCACCATGAACCAGAAGATTAGGCCACCACAGAGGAGCTTGACTACCGAGAAGAGGCCACCAATCCCAACGTAGGCACTGTACTGGACCTGTGGGTGGAGGGAAGAGAGGGCACAAAAGGCACAATGTTCATTTTAAAAAGGGAAATTAAAGGTAACAGAGAATTAAAAAGATAAGGGGATGCAGATAATAGGTGCAGATGAGGGGAAAGTGAGAGATGAGCAAAATATTGTAAATTGGGATTGACTGTACTGACTGTGTCCCCTCACCTTTAAAAAAAAACAAAATTCCGCCCCTGATTAATCACCATAATCTACTGGTCACATGACACCAAGCAAGGCTGTAGCAGCAAAACCCCTGAGAGTCGGTGCGTTTTACCGCATATGAACTTATCGCTTCAAAGTAATAGCCCCTTTGCTGGACAGTATTGTGTAACAGTAGCACAAATTGAGAAAAGCTGTAAAGACAGCAAACTGACTCAGTGATGTCAGTTACACAGCAATATCTATCTTAAGTGTGCTAACATCAGCTAACCATTATTTACTGGTTATGACAGGGAAAGTAATTATGAATAAGTGATTATGAAATACTCCTTCCATCTGAAAGAGGAATATTTCTAGTGACATTAAGCAAAATACGTGACTACTTGAAAACAATAAACATGATACACATTCCTGTGTCCTACACTGGGAGGTTATGTGTGATGTGGCGGAAAATACCAGGAAACATCAGAAATGTTTTTTTGAAGAAGGAAATACATTCAGCAACTGTAACTGTGTTTAAAAGGAAACTCCACAAGGTTGCTCTGTTAATTACTACCACTGCAATCAATCGTGGGAAACACAGTGTCAGTTCTTGTGTTGATATAATCGTACCGGTGACCGGTGTTCCTCCTCATGAAGGAAACGCTGGGTTCTCTTGACTACCGAGGGGTCAGAGCCCATAAATGGGATGGCATACTGTTCAATCTCTTTGCTGAAAAACAAAAACCCTCTGGACACACACACACACACACATACACACACATGCAAATCAAATTAGAAAAACAGACAGCAAGGTGGTCGACGCTGACCCTCCACCTCTGCTTGCATAATCAGTACAAAAGTATTCAAGCTCATTTCATCCATTAATAGTCTCTAAATCTGTCTCTCCCTCCCCAATGGGCCGCAAATAAAATCTCACTACAGTGTGTGTGAGTCAGTCTGCCAGACACAGTAACAGTCTGCAAATCACCGCTATCTTGTAGAAACTCGGTATTTCCAAGTGTGCTGGATTATTACAACGTTAAAGTCAAAAAGACTGTTTTTATTAAATTCAAAAATCATTTATTGCAATTATTTGGTGATGGCCGCATTTCCTCAAATGCCACTAAAATTAAGGTATTCTTATTAAATTAGGGTTGTGCTGATTGTAAAGTTCTGGGCCGATACCGACACCGATGTTTAAAATAACAATTTGGCTCATAGCCCATGCTGATATTTTGTTGTTGTTGTTGTTGTTGTTGTTATTTATTCCCCTTTTGAGCCAGGGGAACAAAGAAATCTTATTATAAAAAAAGTTTTTCAACCGTTAAAGTCATTCAAAACTTCATTACACTTCCTTTGAATGAGCACAAATTCAATAATACAAATTTATGAAACAACCTATAATATAATCTTATAGCACCTGAAAAACATCTTTTAAAAAAACAGACAGGCAGACAGATAGATAGATGGGTAGGTAGATAAATAATATTGCTGTGAAAACATCCAACAAATTTCTCTTGCAAACAACTGCATTTATTCAAGTTTCTCACCATAAGCTACATTTTAGAAGATTACATTTGAACACATAAGGTATCGAAATAATTTCACTTCACCCATTTTTACTACGCAGAGCTTGATCTCGTCATAATGTAACGTAATGTAACCTCCATTAGATGTTAGTTCCAGCCCTCAGCTGCTTATAGCTAACAGCTAAAAGCTAACACTTAACGTTAGCTAGCTCTCATCCTGCCGATGTCGACACAGATTTGTTGTTCACAATGCAGCATTATCTGGGAAAAAAATAGACTGATATGTCCATAGTGACTTTACTACTCTATTTACCCTGGAATGGCAAGACATTGTTAGCCCCGAGCCCTGCTTTTCAGCTTGTGCAAAATCAACGTGACTAGGGACGCACCTATCTGATATCTGGATCGAATATCGATCCCGATATCATCAAAATAGATGGATCGGGTATCGGAAAATGCAACCAAACCTGAGGCGATCCTTTCCCTTTAAATCTATAACGACGCAAACTATGTCATACGTCATGGAGCGTTGGAGAGAATCTGCTGTGCGGAGGAATTTCACACTGAACACTCCAACTAGCCCGACGGCAGTTTGTAATGTCTGCAAAGTGAATGTTGCAAGGGGTGGTGGTAGTACCGCCAAGTATAATACTACCAGTTTAATAAAGCATCTACAAAAACATCACCAAACGGAGCACCAGGAGTTCCAGCAGAGAAATTCCCCAGCAATAGCGCAAAAGTTGTGAAAATTTCTGAGAAAGTGCTGGAGTACATTAGCCTGGAAATCCAGACCCAAATCTAGAAAGATTTAGGGTCTGGCCATGAGTAATGAAAATGGCCCAACTCGAGGGGCGGCACCAAGCATGCATTTGTAAATATCACTGCACGCAATTGGATAACACTACGACCAATCAGAACAATACATGGGGTGACGTATACTCTTAGCTACCAGTGGAGCTAACTGGTAGATCAGACTCTTGCCGTATTCGGTCGGCAAAACAGCAAAAACGTCCTTCTTGCAAGGGAAAGATTCAAGCGCCATCTTCTGTTCCTCTCTTAGAGAAAAAGCCAAGTCTAACTCGTTCATTGTAGCGGCCAAAGCCGTTTCAAACAACTGGTGTTCATCCGTAGCCATCTTGCAATGTTTACTGACTGATTCCGGACTTCGTCGTCGCAGTGCTGTTGTCATCTGTTTAGCTCGCCTCTGGCCTGCCTATATCAGATACACCAATGTGATTAGTGCAGCTCGGTTTCATGGGCATAGGTAATGAGCATCATGCCAGAGTGACTTGCTGAGCAAATTCAAATTGTGCTCTCGCCAGAACTCTAGATTTCCAGGGTAGGAGTACATTGTTTTGGATAGACAACCTATGACGGTTGTTGAAAACATGGCCTTCCAAGGTTTACCGGATCACCTGGAGCCACGGTACAATTTGCTGTCGCGCAAATATTTTTCCGGACTGCACTGTCGGAAATGTACGAGAAAGTGAGGAAACACTTGTCTCAACAGTTACAAGATGTAGATGTCATGAGCTTCACCATCGACATCTGGAGCTCGGAAGTGTGCCCTATGTCTTTGTTAAGTTTAACAGTGCAGCGCCATCCTGCAAGCAAAAAACTTCCTTGGATCACGCTTTTTAGGTCAACCATGGTATCGGATCGGTATCGGGTATCGGCTGATACTCAAAGCCACAGCATCAGGATCGGTATCGAAACTGAAAAAGCTGCATCGGTGCATCTCTAAACGTGAGACAACGGAAAAGCAGCCTATGCTGTTAGTGAGTGTTAGTGTCAATAGGTCGATGGCCGTCAACGACACAGATGTTCTGCTAATAAATAAGCACATCCCTAAAATATTCCATCTTTCACTTTGGAATCAAACTATTGACGTGTAGGTCAAGTGTAAAACAGATATATCAATTTTAAATTCTGTTGTGTGCTGAAGAAACACATCTTACACCTTTCTTGACTAATCCATACCAAGCCCCACATTCCAGTAAAAAATGTGTTGAAAAAGTGTTTCAGCCACACAGTAATTGCTCAGTTATGGCCTTACCTCTTTTTGACTTTGGCTCCCACCACAGGCAGCGGTTTGTGGCCAAACTTCTTCCTCAGCTGGCGGAGGGAGCTGCTGTCCGCGAAACCGTACACAGCAGACTGCCAAGTGGCATCGTGGCCAGACATTCCCTACAAGGGTTGAGATAACTTTTAACTATGTTGTGACGCAGAAAACCAATGCCATCCAAAAGCCCTCTCAATTTCCCCCCAATAAACACCAAAGGTTTAAATGAGAAAGGACAACTTATTTTTTCTGACTGACACGTAAGTGACCCGAGCCTGCTGAGGATTATGTGACTTGCTGAATTACTTATGACTAAAACTCCGGCGTAGTTGAACAAGTCGCTACAGCCATTGGCAGGTTTTGGTTATATATTATTTAGTTTCAAGGGAAGTTAAAAATGGGCATAAAATAACCCCTGTTCCCCCTAGAGCTAGTGTTTGCTCAGTCATTTTTAGGAATTTAGTTATCTTCCTCTGTGTAGAGTAGAAGTAAAGTAAAATGTACTCAACTCTGTACCTGCATTGATATTTTCTGACATTTTCTGATATGTACCATCTATGATAAGTGACATCTTTAACTTTACCCTTTCAAGTGTGAGCTCAATTGACGTAAACTTAAACCAAAACAGCCGTCACTTTACTTTGTAAAACGCTGGAGAAAGAGTATCTGACTACGTTTCCCACCATGCAGTGCAGAAGCTTAAATTGTTCATAATACCTGAGGCCCACTGCTGATGTTCAGGAAGCTCTCCACAGCTGTCAGTGTTCCTGAAATTAGACCAAATCACACAATCTAAGACAGCGTTACAGTTAAAATTTATAAGAATTGAAAATACAATCAAAGGCATTTAACTAACCTTGACTGTGTCAGCCTTTGGATAAATGGAAGCAAAAAGTTTGTGCCTCTCTATTGTTTGATTAATCAATGGATCAGCTGAACTGTATTACCAATTCATGATTGTATTAAGTCATAAAAACTGATTTTCTCCATATGTGGAAATCGGAGGCAAGGCAAGTTTGATTGCATTTCAGACAAGTCAATTCAAGGTGATCCGCATAAAACATCAAGTATCAAGACAAGGTGCAAAAGAAATTTAAAACAATTCATTGGAGAATAAAAATTTAAAACACACTAAGATGGGTATTAAATACAAGAATACAAGCTACAGTGCAGTGTAAGAAATAAGTATATGCTTGATTTTATAAAAGGCGGCAGCAAACAGAAAATCTTCAGCCTTGATTTAAAGGAACTGAGAGTTGGTGCAGACCTGCAGTTTTCTATGAGTTTTTCTCCAGATATGTGGTACATAAAAACTAAATGCTGCTTCTCGATGTTTTGTCTTGACTCCTGGGACACAAAGCAGACCTGTTGATGAAGACCTGAGAGGTCTGGATGCTTCATACTGTAGCAGAGGATCAGAAATGTATTGGGGCCCTAAACCATTTAGTGCTTTGTAAACCAACAGCAGTATTTTGAAGTCGGCTCTCTGGCAAACAAAAAGCATTATGTGTGAGTATAGAACCAAAAGTCTGACAATCCAATATATAAGCATCAGGTTTTAAATAAAGGCACAACACAGCACTGCAGTGTGTTTGATGCCTGGTGTTGTACACCCTGATCTACTTAGGGCTCAAACAACTCAGTAGAATTTTAATTTCTTTATCATATTCATTGAGTAAACCATTAACAGGCTTTCGATTTACAGTGGCTGACTCGTACCTTTGAACTGTCTCTGTGTGTACAGAATACCCAGGTCTGCCGGTATGGAGTCGAAGCCACAGCTGCCAATCACATACACTCCTCTGTCCAACGCCTTAGTGTGGTACTCTAGCTGCATACGCTCCAGAAACTGTAAAGGATGGAGACTCAAGGCATATGCATATACACAAAACAAATAAACACACAACCATAATGCAGTCACAGCAAAAAAGACTCCATCCAGTCGGTGTACTTTATCCTTTTGAAACCTGAAGCAACATCACTTTTCTTGCGCTGCTTTCAGGCGCCTTTCGCAAGTATTTAAACCTTTGAAACTTGAGCAAATTGGTGCGGTTTCTTTCAAAAACATGGGGAAAAAGGCACTAAGCAATTTGGTAAGAAATGTCACATGAACTGCAAAAAAAATGATAGACATTGAATTTTTTTTTTAAATGGGAGGAAAGAAAAAAGCTAGGGAAAAATATATTTATAATTGTTATAACTCTTACATTTTAAAATTATTTACAAATTAGTATTTTTCAGCACTTTTTTGTTTATTTTTAACTTTCTTTCTTTTTACTAATTTTCTTGTGTTTAATTTCTCTTTTTACTCATTTCTTTTTCTAATTTATGGGTCATTTCTTCTTCTGTTGTTCACTGCCTTCTTCCCATGTTTTTAAAAGAAATAAAGCCAATCTGCTGAGGTTTCGAAGAGTTAAAGAGCAGTGATAACCAATTTATAAAGGTATGATCACAGTAAATCAATCATCACATAAAAACAAAAGAAATGGACATTTATCTTCCTACCTGAGGCTCCCCACAGATGTCTATGTAGTGAGCTCCATTTTCTATGCATGCCTTGACCACTGGTTCGCCATAAAATCTGTACTGAAGGGACGAAGAGCATAGAGAGAACAGTTCAAAACAACACAAAAAGCTGTGGGAAATGTCATCTCAAACTTCCCTTTGTTTGAACCCATGATAAAGTCTGGAGGACACACGTACAGGGCCCACACAATTAAGAATCACCAGGCCTTGTTGGCACATGATAGCCAGTGATTCCTCGATGCTCACATCAGCAACAATGATTTCAATGTCTGTCCTCAGCTCTGGCATGGCTGATAAAAGAGAGGGAAAGAGATGATCATTCAGTTATTGTACAGTGGATAACTTACACATTGCCCTAACCTAGTTTGTTGTAATTGTACATGTCAGACTAAGGCTTGCATTTCTGAGTCACTGCTATTTAAGGTTAATACAAAGCTGAAATTATCATTATAATAAATAAATATAATTATTTCTCATTGCTTATTGCTACATCACAACTGTGTCAACACTGGTATTAACTTGAGAAGGGCATGTGGAATATAAGTACTAGAGACTAGAGCAAATTCTGAAATGTCCCTTTCTCACTGTATAAAAAAGCCTTGCTGGTCAGTCAGCCTGGGTCTAGCTGTGAGCTACACTGCTCAATAACCCGACCACTGCACATTTCTGAAGCCAGTTAGCTGTTTTGGGAGCAAAACAAAATATTTAGCTGCATTTGGGGGTCAAGTTTATATCCTTCACTTGTAGCTATAACAACAACAACGACCCAAAATGCTGCCTTCGTCATTTAAGTGAGTATGCTGCGGCAAGACTGAAACGCAGTCTGACTATATAAACATCAACTGCCTAACAGCAGTCAGCCCAGTCTCAGTTAGCTTCACTACACCCTGTAAATCACATACACAGCCTCTCCACTGCCCGCTTCAACACTTCTCCCAGACGCTGCCTGCTCCTCCCGGCCACGGCCCATTTCAGGGAGCTCTCTGCGGCGCAGCGGGCGACCTCCTCCACAACAAACTGTCCGGTGAACCCTGTGGCACCAAAAATAATAATGTGGTACGGTCTGGTAGAGGTTACAGCCGCCATTGTTGCTGTCTAGTTCAAGGTCCCACCTGGTAACGCGTTAGTTACAGTTCTGTCTGCTGATTGGCTGGAGACGCACCAACTGTCCTGGAATATTAAATGAACATCTACGGGAGCCGCAGTACTGCATTAATCCGCTAATCAATCCGCCACCTGCAACTGTCAACAAACTATGCGTTTAACTGTTCGACAGATACTTGATGGTATGTAAATAATTAATTAATAGTAATGTATGTCACAGATATAAATCACAATTTGTGTTTGTTTCTATAACTGATACAATATTCAATAATTACTGAGTTTGTAACATAGCGCCGCCCATATCCAATATCTAGGACAAGGTGCACTCTGCAACTATAAACACGTTAAAGGAACAGTAGCACAAATTAGCCTAAATATTTTTCTTAGATAAAAGTATTGTGGATGTGCAATATGAAGGATAACGAACACAGGTAGGTCAGACTTTGCTTAAATTTCCAGATACTTTGAGTTTGTGTCTACCCCTTAATATTGGCCTTGTGGTGATTCTGTGGTGTACACTGACATCTGGTGGTGAATATTAGGTATTACACATGTAGGTAAAAACCATAGACATATATACATAGACGCCGCATTGACTGCCGCTGCCTATCTGAGCCGACGTCGTCGCCGGCCGCCATCTTGGATGGGTCTCGCTTCGCCTCCACAGTGCATTCACTTTATTGAGAAAGGAGCTGTATGCACAAGTAAAATAGAATAACTCACTGAATTTTCAACTGATTTTCACGCGGTTTGGTTTGTTACAAACGGCACACATGTAGTTATGATACAGGATGCGGGATTTCATGCTTTAATACTTTCTGCAGATAGCAACAGCATGTTATTTAGGTCACAACACAGTTCTTTTATTCACCTCAACCCCAGAGCGGGATATATACATATA